AGTTGTTTAGTGTAGTTTTAATAGTTTTAACAGTTATAGTGTAGTTAATAGTAAGTTTTGTAGATAGTGTAGATAGTACTTGGAGGAAACGGGGTTTATCCCCTTCCCTCCTCCCCAGTACCAGGGCCCATGCCTAGGTCTCCGGGTTTCAAGCCTTGCTCGGCATGTCTCGAGCCAATGCCTATGGGAGACCCCCACGACTCCTGCTTGAAGTGCCTGGGGGAATCCCATCAACCAGATAAGTGCCACATTTGTAAGGCTTTCAAGCCTGGGACAAAAAAGGAGCAGGACTTTCGTTTAAAACAGCTCCTAATGGAAGCGGCACTTAGCCCGGTGCCCTTGGCACCGCGTGCAGATCAGGCGCCGTCGGTCCGAAGCGCGCCTCTGGCACCGGAACAACCCGGCACCAGCAAAGACTCTCGGCACTATGTTGGCTCAAAATCTTCCTCTCAGGCAGAAGAGGGGGTTGTGGTGGGCATCAGCTTCTCAAGGACACTCCCTTGTACAGTTCCAGGAGGCTCAATTCCTTTCCCACATCCCATTTAACACATGTTAAATCTCAGGATAGGTTGTGAACTGCCACAGACTCCAGCTTCAGTAGTGTCCCAATGACTCCCAGCTCTGCATTTCCCTCATGTAAAACACAGCTTTCCCACTTATGATCTGAATATTTATTGCTTCCACCCTACTACAGCAATGTCTCATACCTTTGCTTATTAAGATGTTCTAGATAGCACAACATGAAGCAATCCACCTTCTAATCAACATTGCACATCAAAAACACCATGATGCTTCAGACACTACAATGGCACCTGGTTCAATAACTAATCCGATGTAAACTTCTGACTTTGATCTTTGAGGCTGTTTGTGAGCTGAGCTGTGCTTCTCAGGGAATTGGAGTTGTGACTGCATCCCGAAGGAAACTCACAAATGTAGGGGATTGTGGCTTCTTTCCAGTAGACCCACTGCTGTGGAACTCCCTTCTGAGAATGAGCATAAATCTTACCACCTTCAGAACAAAATATAACCCATTTATTTACATGAGCTTTCCCACAACAACTTCCTTGAAATTGAAGAATAAATGAAGATGATGGTGGAGAGGAAAAAGTAAACATTGACATGAACATCTGCGTACATTCGCATCACAAAGCAAGTGGGGGATATTAAACTTTCACACTGCTAGGTTTTTGAATTTTGGGTTGCATTCAGATACTACTTGGTCATGTTATAAATACCTAAATGGGGGGAGTATTTTTTTTAAAAAGTTTGCTCTAATATCTGGACCAAAATGTCCCCTTGCACATAACTGTTTCATATCATATTACTCTGTATTAGCTGGCTAACACCCTCCATCTCAGTGATGACTTCAGTTCAGAGCTGGTGTAAGGATTTACTATGTGAAGTGCTTTGGGATCCTTCAGAATGAAATATAATATATTTGTAAAGTAAGTAGTAATATTACTGTAACTTTTATTTAGCTTTTATTTTGAATTAGCTTTGATTTAAACTATTATACTATATCCAAATCTGGCGATAAATTGATAAAAGGTTAATAGTGAAGTGGACAAAAGGGAGAACTGACAAGTTGATAAAGAGATTCACTACTGTGATAGCGAGTTTGACTGATAAAAGAAAAAAGATTGATGAAGATGTTGCCTTCTAGAAGAGTATTTGATTAAAAAAAATGAAAAAGATTGATGAGAACACTGCCTGGTACCACAAAGGCAGAGCAAAGAACTTTCTTTCTAGCAAAGAATCTAAAGTATTGACTTTTTGACAGTTCTGGGATTTAGCAGTAATTCACTTTCAGTTTCAAATTGTTTGATATCTCAGTAAATCTCTCTGTGCCATAAAAGCTACATACTGTGGAATTGCTGTAAATAAAGCTTGAATGTGATGTATCTACCATATGCAAGAATTTTTCTTAGCCTGATTTGAAGGTCTTTTACATTTCAGAATCACCTTCTAATTAATGACATTTTCTGGACAATTGTTTTGTAGTGGCTTCAAACAGGATTAGGGTCTGTCAAGAACTCTGGTTATTGGTCACAGTTTTCTTGTTTGCAGTGTTGTAGCTGTGTTGATCCCAGGTTATTAGAGAGACAAGGTGGGTAAAAGATATTACCTCACCCACAATTTTCTTGAAAAGAAATCATTAGTAATTTCTCCACTAGCCTGTTCTTTGGAAATACATAACATTAACTGTGAAACAAATAATCCCAGACACCAAACAAAGCTATTTAAATGTGCTTATGGTTTTCCATTTGTACCTTTTAATAAAGAATACTGTCTAAATGTAATATTCCTAGAATCAATTTGCCAAAGAATAGGTATATAAACTAAACTTCTCTGTGTCTCAGTTTAGTTAAGTGTCTTGTCTATGGTGCCCTGTAGCCTACAGCAATATTTCTCAAATGATGGAGCCATGCCTTCAGGTGTGTTGCTAAGGGTTGCCTGCTGGTTAGCACTCCACTAGCTGAGAACAACCCACCCCTTGCCACGTAGCAGAATCCTATGGCTGTGAAGATCCAGCAGGAGCAAAGGGAGAGCAAGAAAGTAGCAGCTGTTCCCCCAAATAATCCTCCCTCTTTTTGCTACTGCTGCTCCATCCCCAAACCCAATCACAATGGAGATTCTCCCCCTTCCCAGTGTTCAGTTCTGGGGCATGATAATACAGGACATCTAGAAGCTGTGGAACTGGCTTGATAGCCTCTTGAAGTAGTGCTGAGAGCTGTGTGAGGGGGAATGGAACGGTTGAGAGAGAAGCAGGGGCGGCTCCAGGCAGCAGCGCAGCAAGCGCGTGCCTGGGGCAGCAAGCTCTGACCCCAGCAGCTTTCCAGCAACGCACCAGTCTCACACTGGCTTCCACAAGCCTTGTTTACTACTTGCAAGATGACCCCAACACACTCTGAGTCCCAGATTTTCCCAAAAACGTGTGTTCTGCAATGACCAGCCCTCTCCTGGATAGTTCAGATATTAAGGTACATTGTCCCTGTAAGAAGTCAATATTCAGTAGTTTGTTACTTTAGATGGAGTTACCTAACAGTTCAGTTTAAACACGGCACTGGATTGGTTTAGATTAAAAATAAAACAAGTTTATTAACAAAAGAAGATAGGATTTAAAGTGAATTCAGGTATAAGATAGCAGTTAGAAATGGTTACAAACAAATAAAAGTGAAAACATGCATCTAAAAGTCTAAAACTTAATCTAGCAAGGTTTGGTTCAAGGTTTTGTTTAAGATGGCCTTTCTCACCCATGGTTTTCCAGCAAGATCATGAATTACCTTTTACTTCATCAAAGGTTCTGGTGCCTTTGTTTTAGGTGAAAGAGAATGTGAGGTTCTCTACCCCTTTTTTTATAGTCCAGTGAACCTTTTAAATGGATTCTTCTGAGGGTTACCCTTCAGAGTAAAGTTTATTCAAGCAGTAAGAAAAGCAACATGGAGTCTGGTGGTGAAGGAGGCTCCATGCCCCTACTTGTGTTTGTTAAAATGCAAATTGTTCTGTTTCCTGCCATCTCTTCCCCCTGCTGTCTTATAGAGTCTGTCTACTATTTATATGGAAATTGAGGCAAACATGCATTCCTTTGTTTAGCATGGACCTGTGTAACAATTTTTGCCTAGGCATGGCTGTTTGGTTTTGAACGTGTGCTAATGACATCATATGGGGGAATTCATATCTTTCATATAATGTTGCTATATACATATCACCATGATATTATTCACCAGTGAGTTATTTGTTTTCAAATGATATGTTACAAGGCATATTTTGTACAAAGCTTATTACAATAGTGTGTAGAGTGTGAATAGATGGGATGCTTTTGGTCAGGTGTCTATAAGGGTTCTGAGAGGTTGAGAACCTCTGGTCTACAGGATTAGGCTTCAGTGTGGAAGTCAGGAGACCTGTATTCTAAACCAAGTCCTGACACCGATTTGCTTGCAGTCTGATACGGGCAAATCAGTTCTTTAAGCCGCAGTTTCCTTAGTGGGAAGATGGAGATAATGATGTTCATCATCTCCTGTGATGTTTTGAGGTATAGTCAAATCATGTTTGTGAAGTTCTATATAAGTGGAAAGAAGAGTAAGTCCTCAGCAGATGTAGGAATAGGATAGGCTTTTCTGACTTTTTAGCCCTGTGCTTGTCTCTCTAAACCATGTTTCATCTAGAACACCACTCCTATTTCCTCCAAACTTCTGTATGCTTTTGGATGTTTGCTCCTGTTGGAGTTTGTAAAGCACTTATATGTGCTGTGCATATATATGGAACTCTGTGCAGTTCCTGATGTACATATTAACCACATTCACTAATTGATTCCTCACCAACTCCAAAACATGGAATTTCTAAGCCAGATTGCTTAGGAAAATTTCACCAAAGTGAAACATAATTTGTCTCAAATGCATTGTTTGATTTTCCACAAACATCAGAACTTTTCTCCGTTAGCATAAGATCAGATATGAAATTTCAGAAAGGTTGGCTTAGTTTTGACAAAGTTAGGGACACCTCATCAGAACTACACTTTTAATGGAAAACTACCTTTAATTTCAGTGTCTCTCTCCATATTTTAATTTGTCTAAATTTGATCAGCAATAATAGCTGCCCTCGGTTTTGTATTTAAAATTACAAATGCTTTATGATCGTAATTGCCCTTCTATTCTTCACCTGTTTTTCATAATGCAGAAATAGTGCTCATGCACTGTATTTTCTACACATATTTGCACCTTTAAAAATGTCATTCTTCGTGTTCACCCCCTATTTGTGTACATGTGCTCTGTTCTTTATTTTTTCACATATATACATGGTGTTCAAATAATTGATAATATGGCTCATTCTCTGCATAGTACATCAAATGTAGAATCCAGCAACTTGTACTTTAAATTTTTAGGTAAATTTGGACAATTGCTAGACTTTTGCTTCTTTGTGAGTGCGGGATATAAGTACATACATTGTTCACTCTATCATGAACTGGGTCATAACTATAAACGTATACTACTGTTTTGCAGTTACATCCTCATCTGCTGTCTCTGCTCATTTGGTTGCATCCGTTATTGTAGCTGTAGTAGAAGGGAGAGGACTTGCCAGAGGTGAAGTAGGAATGGCTAGTATTGACTTAAAGAACCCTGAAGTGGTATTATCCCAATTTGCGGACAATACAACCTATGCTAAGGTAATTTTGAATACTTTTGGTTGCTGTATATGGTAGTATTTTACATAATGATGAAGATTATTATTGATGTCCTTTTTTGTCAGAAGTTTTTATAAATAATAGCAGGAAATCTCTGATTGATTACCAAGAGTAATACAAAAAATAAAGTAGCATTGTTAATGTGAAGAGTAACATCATTTATGCTGGCTTTTTTGTACATTGGATGCTCATTTTTGAAGCTGTCTCTCTTAAAAGATTCTATCAACTCATTATAGCAAGTGAGTTTTCTCTTCAGTAATAGTGTATTTATTTGTGTCTGGATTCTTTCTCCTCCCTTTTCCCACTCTCCTTTGGGGTTCCACTATGACCCTGTCCTTGGCCTTGATCCTCAAAGTTACCTTTCTAATTTTGATTTGTCTCCATCCATGCAATCCTGTATTTCAGTCTCTCTCTCAATCTGACATCCCCTCTTAATTGTCTCCATCTTAGAATTAACATGATAAAAATGGAACTCCTTTCAAGTCCTTCCTGCATTTTCCTTGACTGTTGACATCACTATCTTCCCTGTCACTCAAACATAACCTGAATCGTCTTTGATTCTTTCCTCTCCCATGCTCCCACATCAAGCTCTGTCCAACTCCTGCTGTGTTTTGCTCTAATGTTTTTAAAATCTGCCCTTTTTCATACTGTACACACTGCAAAAATGTGTTCCTCATTATCTCACATTTTGATTGCTGTAACCTCCTTTTTGCTGGCTTCCCTGACAGCACATTCACCCTTCAGTCCATACAAAACATATCTGCTAAGATCATCTCCCTTTACCTGTCACTCTGATTTTACCCCTCCATCAACTTCCCATTTTCTGGCCCCATTGTCTTCAATGCCCTTCACTACAATGCCCCTCTGTTATCCATACTTTTCTTATTGTGTTGTGACCTCGGCTTTGCCAATGATATTGGCTTCAACCATTGTTGCACTTTCTTTCATGCCACCCCTTATGCATGGAACACCATCCCTGAATTAATATGTTAAGGCCACTATCTTCTCCTCCTACAAATCCCTCCTTAAGACTTATTTCTGCTGTAATGCCACCAAAAAACTAAACAGCTAATGATGGATAGGTTAGGCAGCCACAGCCCAAACAAAAATATTTTAGATGGTTCAGAACTATTAAGTCTATGTAGTCTCATTGATTTATTATAGTTACTCCCATTCCCCTACCACCTCCTTTCAGTTGTTTGTCACACTGGTTGCATTTTGTCTTAGACTGTAAGAGATTTTAGACAGGGATTATGTCTTTCTATTTTTTTGTACAGCACCTTATCACCTATATAGTGGAGCCCAAATCCTAATTTGGGGCCTTTGGGCACTACTGAAAATAATACAATTAGAAACAATACATAATAATTGATCTTGTTAGGTATATGTAGATGTTAATCCTTTCCTAGATAAGAAACTAGCAGCAAAATTCAGTTGTACTTTAAATCAAAGTTAGGCTCCTGACCCAGGCAGCACAGACTTTTGGGTCAAAAGAGGGGACATCTTTCCTCTCCTCTTTCAGCTTCACCCAGAAGAACTAGCCCCTCTCTCAGGGGAAGCAGACAGTCTTTTTTACCTTGTCTGTTGTGCCCTGTTTGACTTTCTGCTCCTGATCCTTCTAGCTGCTGGAGGACCAATTCTTGTTGGTTCTGCCAGCTGCTGAACTTGGTGGACTCTCTTGGCAGCCAGTGGAGTATCTAAACTCACTGCTCTTTTCCACCAGAAGGAAACCTGCTTGGGGCAGGATTAGCCAAGGTGGGAGGGCATCAAACACGTGGTACACCCTGTCACAATGAGTATTTCATGTGAAAAGGAAAAGCTGGTTTAAATATGTATCTTTAAACAGAGAAATAATGCAGGTTAGACTGTAGCATGAACATGTATGCATAAGAAGTTACAAGGTCTAAAATATGACCTAATCCAAAGAGCCTTATACAGTCCAAGTGAGTCTGGAGCTCATGACCTTCAGGAGCACCATGAACTTCTGCAGCTGCAAACCCAGAAAGTTACTTCTGATTGAAAAGGTACTTCCTCAGTCACACCCGTAGAATGCCATTTTAGGCATAACATTCTTCTTCTTCTTCGAGTGCTTGCTCATATCAATTCCAATTAGGTGTGTGCGCGCCGTGTGCACAATCGTCGGGAGATTTTTACCCTAGCAACACTCGGTGGGTCGGCTGAGGTGCCCCCTGGAGTGGCGCCTTCATGGCGCGGGACCAAAAAGGAGTAGGACTTCAGACTGAAGCAGCTCCTTATGGAGTCCGCACGCCGGGTCTTGGCACCATCGTCTTCGGTGCGGAGTGCCCCTGCGGCACCGACTGGTCCGGCACTGCGTTCGGAATTTGCTCCCCTCCTCCTTCCCTGTCCCGCTTCCTTTGCTTTGTGGTCCATCAACAGCACTTTCAATTCACCGTCCTTCCTTTCGGCCTGTCTACAGCCCCCAGGGTGTTTACCAAGTGCATGGCTGTTGTGGCTGCCTCCCTTCATCGACAACGGATCCAAGTGTTCCCATATCTCGACAACTGGCTTATTAGGGGTCACTCCAGGGATCAGGTGCAGTCTCATGTTCAACTCACCATGAACATGTTCAATCGACTGGGCCTCCTGCTCAATGTCGCGAAATCCACTCTGGTACCAACCCAGAGGATAGAATTCATAGGAGCAGTCTTAGACTCAGGCCTAGCCTGGGCACTTCTGCCAGAAGCACGCTTCCAATCCCTGGCGAACATCATCCACAGCCTGCAAAACTTCCCGACCTCGACCATGAAAACATGCCTATGCCTCCTGGGACACATGGCCTGTTGCACGTATGTGACCAGGCACGCCAGGCTGTGACTACGTCCACTCCAAGCCTGGCTATCAACAGCATACCGCCCAGGTCAGGACAGCTTGATCACGGTGGTTACCATCCCACCAGGGATATTAGCCTCTCTAGGCTGGTGGCTGGACCCCAAATCAGTGTGCGAAGGGGTGCCATTCCACGCCCTGCAGCCCTCCATGTCCCTAGTCATGGATTCGTCATCCCTGGGATGGGGAGCCCACCTTGGGAACCTTCCATACACAGGGGCTATGGTCAGCAGGAGAGTTATCCCTCCACATCAACGTACAGGAACTCAGAGCAATGCGCCTGGCGTGTCAAGCATTCCGAGAGCCCTTTCAAGGCCATTGTGTTGCAGTCCTCACAGACAACACAATGGCCATGTTTTACATCAACAAGCAAGGGGGAGCCCGGTCGTCCCCCCTCTGTCAGGAGGCCACTTATCTGTGGGAATTCTGCATAGTCCACTCGATACATCTGGTGGCGTCGTTTCTCCCAGGAGTCCAGAACACCTTAGCGGACCACCTCAGCAGATCATTCCAGGCTCACGAGTGGTCGGTTCGCCCGGACGTCATCCACTCTGTCTTCCTGAAGTGGGGCTTTCCCCTGATAGACCTATTCGGCTCTCGCGAGAATCGAAAATGCCAGGTGTTCTGCTCTCTCCAAGAATGCTCTCCGGGTTCCCTGTCAGATGCCTTCCTAATACAGTGGAAGGATCACCTATGCTATGCCTTTCCTCCATTCCCGTTAGTCCACAGGGTCCTGATCAAACTGCGCAGGGACAGAGCACGTCTGATTTTGGTCACCCCAGCGTGGCCCACGCCACGCGGGCTCAGGCTTCATCCTCTGCTTTCCTGGCGCATGTGCCCATACAGGAGATATGTAGGGCAGCAACTTGGTCATCAGTGCAGACCTTCGCCGCCCACTATGCTATAGTGCAGCAGTCAAGGGGTGATGCTGCATTTGGTTCAGCGGTCCTTCACTCCACGACATCTCACTCCGACCCCACCGCCTAGGTAAGGCTTGGTAGTCACCTAACTGGAATCGATATGAGCAAGCACTCGAAGAAGAAAAGACGGTTACTCACCTTTGTAACTGTTGTTCTTCAAGATGTGTTGCTCATATCCATTCCAAACCCGCCCTCCTTCCCCTCTGTCGGAGTAGCCGGCAAGAAGGAACTGAGGGGGTGCTGGGTCTGCCGGGGCATATATCCAGCGCCAGGAAGGCGCCACTCCAGGGGGCACCTCAGCCGACCCACCGAGTGTTGCTAGGGTAAAAATCTCCCGACGATCGTGCACGCGGCGCGCACACACCTAATTGGAATGTATATGAGCAACACATCTCGAAGAACAACAGTTACAAAGGTGAGTAACCGTCTTTTTTTTGCAGGGGTGCTTCATCATATATATATATATTTTTATATATTCATGACATGAGATAAATTATTATCCAAATCTTTTACTTTAATTTTAGGTATTTTTGTAACTATTTTTCTGTTTTATATTAGTGAGCGATATCTGCAGACACTTCTGTTTGGAAAATTATTACTGCAGGCTATTTCTTTTTTAGTTCTTGTATGCAGCAGTTGGAGAGACAAGAGTGCATAAAAGTGAAGGAGAGGAGGAAAGAAACGTAACAGATTTCTACATGCTACAAATAATTAATAATAATATATGTTCATCTACTATCTTTGAAGCGTGGTGCAATAGGTGTAACTAAATCCTCTCTTTTTGCATTATATTTATCTTATTGCTTTCTGTACTACACTTACCTCATTATCTGGTCAACAGAAAGTTCCTAATGACGCAGTCTCACCTGTTACCAGCGCTCAAAGCTCAGGAAGTGAAAAAGCCATTAAAAACCTTACTGTTTTTGGCACTGACTGGGAATAGATGATGTCTGCCTGGTTTTTGTGCGTGCACATCCCTTTAAGTGGAATTTTTAATTGATTTAAAAGTGTTAGCTGACAAATTCTATAATCTTTGTAATTTCTGGACTATTTTATTTATTTGTGAAAATGTACTTTGAGACTGCTAAATGATTTTTAATGAATTATGTTTTAATTTTGTTTTTAGGTTATCACAAAACTCAAGATTTTAACACCATTAGAAATAATAATGTCAAATACTGCTTGTGATACAGGGAATACAACAAAATTGTTCAGTTTGATAACAGAAAATTTCAAGGTAATCTTTTTTTAGACTTCATTTAGTTTTTATAGGGCTCCTATTTGACTGGTTTTATATGGTTGCAGATTTGTGACCGTCTTTATGAGGGGATCCAAATGCTGAATCCCTTAGCTCACTGGGGCTGGGCAAAGTTTAGGCAGTGTTCCTGGCTTTTGGCCTCTGCGCGCACACTCCAGGTGTTACCTTGTGTCTGACACCTCTTTTGGCAGTGGTGACCCCACAGTCCAACTGCCTATGTCCCAAAAGTAATACCATCTCCCACAAGCCTCCCCAGCAGCTCTTGCACATTTCCCAGAATCCTTCCAAAGATGTGAGCTTTCTGGCTTACAGTTTGCCTCTTCAGGGACATGCAACAGTGAAAGCCAACAGACACGTAGACAGACTTTCACAGGATTCTAAAGTAGTATTGCTCTTTACTTAATAGAATGAGAAATGCATAGATCTAGATAAAATAATAAACATATGTATACACATTTCCTTGCCTCAGGTTCCTCACCATTCTGGAGAGTTCTTTAGGCTTGGGCAGAGTCCTCTGGGGTGTCTTCCTCTCCAGGTCATGTCTTCTGACTTATGGAGATTTTCCAGCCCATCTAACCTTCTCTGACCTTTGTTGGTCCTGCAGTTAAATTGGATCCCCCACTATGAATGCTTTCCTTTCTCTTCCCCTCTTCTTACCAAAGCTTACTGTTTCTCTTGTGAGTCATTTTAAAATCTTAGCTTTGTCATCTTTGTCTCTGTGTCCTGTCTGGCAGTTTTCCATTCTCTACTTCCCCTCCCTGCAGACAAGTTGGAGGAAGTGGTTTCTCCCAGCTCCAGCCAATCTCCTTAGCATGTTCATTGCTTGGTCCAGGGCACAGTGATTAAGGTTAACAACTCTCCATTGGCCTTGGTCTGGTAGGTATATAGAGCTGTCCATAGATTCATAGATTCATAGATTCTAGGACTGGAAGGGACCTCGAGAGGTCATTGAGTCCAGTCCCCTGCCCGCATGGCAGGACCAAATACTGTCTAGACCATCCCTGATAGACATTTATCTAACCTACTCTTAAATATCTCCAGAGATGGAGATTCCACAACCTCCCTAGGCAATTTATTCCAGTGTTTAACCACCCTGACAGTTAGGAACTTTTTCCTAATGTCCAACCTAGACCTCCCTTGCTGCAGTTTAAGCCCATTGCTTCTTGTTCTATCCTCAGAGGCTAAGGTGAACAAGTTTTCTCCCTCCTCCTTATGACACCCTTTTAGATACCTGAAAACTGCTATCATGTCCCCTCTCAGTCTTCTCTTTTCCAAACTAAACAAACCCAATTCTTTCAGCCTTCCTTCATAGGTCATGTTCTCAAGACCTTTAATCATTCTTGTTGCTCTTCTCTGGACCCTTTCCAATTTCTCCACATCTTTCTTGAAATGCGGTGCCCAGAACTGGACACAATACTCCAGCTGAGGCCTAACCAGAGCAGAGTAGAGCGGAAGAATGACTTCTCGTGTCTTGCTCACAACACACCTGTTAATACATCCCAGAATCACGTTTGCTTTTTTTGCAACAGCATCACACTGTTGACTCATATTTAGCTTGTGGTCCACTATAACCCCTAGATCCCTTTCTGCCGTACTCCTTCCTAGACAGTCTCTTCCCATTCTGTATGTGTGAAACTGATTTTTTCTTCCTAAGTGGAGCACTTTGCATTTGTCTTTGTTAAACTTCATCCTGTTTAACTCAGACCATTTCTCCAATTTGTCCAGATCATTTTGAATTATGACCCTGTCCTCCAAAGCAGTTGCAATCCCTCCCAGTTTGGTATCATCCGCAAACTTAATAATCGTACTTTCTATACCAATATCTAAGTCGTTAATGAAGATATTGAACAGAGCCGGTCCCAAAACAGACCCCTGCGGAACCCCACTCGTTATGCCTTTCCAGCAGGATTGGGAACCGTTAATAACAACTCTCTGAGTACGGTTATCCAGCCAGTTATGCACCCACCTTATAGTAGCCCCATCTAAATTGTATTTGCCTAGTTTGTCGATAAGAATATCATGCGAGACCGTATCAAATGCCTTACTAAAGTCTAGGTATACCACATCCACAGCTTCTCCCTTATCCACAAGACTCGTTATCCTATCGAAGAAAGCTATCAGATTGGTTTGACATGATTTGTTCTTTACAAATCCATGCTGGCTGTTCCCTATCACCTTACCACCTTCCAAGTGTTTGCAGATGATTTCCTTAATTACTTGCTCCATTATCTTCCCTGGCACAGAAGTTAAACTAACTGGTCTGTAGTTTCCTGGGTTGTTTTTATTTCCCTTTTTATAGATGGGCACTATATTTGCCCTTTTCCAGTCTTCTGGAATCTCTCCCGTCTCCCATGATTTTCCAAAGATAATAGCTAGAGGCTCAGATACCTCCTCTATTAGCTCCTTGAGTATTCTAGGATGCATTTCATCAGGCCCTGGTGACTTGCAGGCATCTAACTTTTCTAAGTGATTTTTAACTTGTTCTTTTTTTTATTTTATCTGCTAAACCTACCCCCTTCCCATTAGCATTCACTAGGTTAGACATTCCTTCAGACTTCTCGGTGAAGACCGAAACAAAGAAGTCATTAAGCATCTCTGCCATTTCCAAGTTTCCTGTTACTGTTTCTCCCTCTTCACTAAGCAGTGGGCCTACCCTGTCTTTGGTCTTCCTCTTGCTTCTAATGTATTGATAAAAAGTCTTCTTGTTCTCCTTTATTCCCTTAGCTAGTCTGAGCTCATTTTGTGCCTTTGCCTTTCTAATCTTGCCCCTGCATTCCTGTGTTGTTTGCCTATATTCATCCTTTGTAATCTGTCCTAGTTTCCATTTTTTATATGACTCCTTTTTATTTTTTAGATCATGCAAGATCTCGTGGTTAAGCCAAGGTGGTCTTTTGCCACATTTTCTATCTTTCCTAACCAGCGGAATAGCTTGCTTTTGGGCCCTTAATAGTGTCCCTTTGAAAAGTGTGTATGTGGAATCCATGTCAGCAGCTGATAGATTCCACATACACACAGTCATTCTGTAATGCAAAAAATTATAATAACTTCATAGCATCAACCAGAATTAATAAGTTGTGGCACTTTGGGGTTCAACCTGGACCAATAAGGGGTTGTGTAACTGCCTGCCCTGCAACTCTGATGCCTTAAATGTGATGCTGGTGTGGCTCACAGCTCTGACACCAACAGTCAGCCTACATGCATGCAGGTCATATCCTGACTTCCACCACGCAGTTGCTTTTTGCAGGTTGACCACAACGCCTGTGCCCAATACTGAATTTCCCCGAAAGTGTTTGCCCTGGAGTGTCCAGTCCTGTCTTGGAATACTCACAGAAGCTAAGTTTGCTTCTCCTTTAAAGAGCCAGTGAACAACAGCTCATTAATTTAATGGGGGTTTGACAAACACTTTTTTCAGTCAAAGCACTGAACTGGTTTATAGTAAAAGTATAACAAGTTTATTAAATAAAAACCTCATAGGTTTAAGTGATATCAAGTATAAGGAATAAAGATAGGAAGGGTTACAAGCAAACTAAAGTAAAAATCTATTTCTAAGATTAAAAGTTAATTTTTAAAGCAAGTTACAATCTTTGTCTAAGCAGGGTTCTGATCTGTATTCATTCCCAGAAATTTCAGTTCCCTGAGTTGAAGGATCCAACATTCTGTGATTTCAAGAGCTCTGGCCCCTTTAGTCCCTCAAGTGATGGATGCCAAAATAGCTTCTTGTCTTTGCTTATATCTTCTAAAGTTCAATGAACTTTTGGGGGCTCAGCCTGCTGTGTCCAGCAGGGAGCCGACGCCATGTTAATTTTTGCAGTTTTGTGTTCCCCCGTCGTGATAGTTAAGAGGCTATCTCCCCCACTTACCCATTTGATGGTTTTATTTACCTTCAGTGTAAGTGCAGCTTCATCATCCCTGCCTGATGACCAGACCAGTCAGACAAGCAAACATACACTCCCCTGTCCAAGGCAGACTGGGCCCATGCACTGGTTGCCAAACACATTTTAAGAACGTAATTCCAGCACACATCTATAACTGTTTGTACACACTCTGTACATACACCATGCAGTGAGCTTCAGGACCAGTGTGCCACCAATTTGCTCATGATATCCTACATGACACCTTCCAGATACAGATCATAATAGCGGTGAGTGGGGGTACACTGAGTATGTCAGGCCTGACAAAAGTTGCTGACCCAGAGTTGTAAACTGCCAATGGGCCTCCGTGTCACATTTTTACATACAGAGATTCCCCAAATCATCACAACACTACGGTTCCTTTCCATGAGATTTTGAAACCTTTGCTGTTTTTGTTTTTGTTGTTATTAGAACGTGACTTTTACTACTGTCCAAAGAAAATACTTCAATGAAACAAAGGGCTTGGAATATATAGAACAGTTGTGTACATCTGAATTCAGCACTGTCCTAATGGAGGTTCAGTCCAAGTACGTTTAACCTAAATAAGAAAAAGAAGTAGTGTTTCCAGATAAAAGGTTATGACAGTTTGTACAGATTTAATACACTGGCCAGTGGCTTCTCATTAATTGGTACACACATGCCTACCAGAGCGTGGCGGGGAGCTCGGGGCTTCTGCCTTGCGGTGGGGTGGTGGGGCTAGAGGTTTCTGCCAGAGACAACTGGTGCCTGCTGAGAGTGGGGGGGCACAATTTGTTGGGGAGGCGAACCTTTAGTTTGTCACGCCCCTCCTCTTACCATCAGTGACCCCTCCCTGCAGCTCCCAGGTGTTAGCAGTGCAAGGAGAGGGAACAGCAAAAGCAGAGGCTCTCCCTGCAGCTCCCAGCTGTTTGCTGCTGCCTCTCCCCATGGCCAAAGCTCCCAGCATGTCGGCTCCAACAGCTGCTGTGCAGGGTGGGAGCCCAGTGGCACAATGTAACCGAGCAGGGCCAGCAAACCCTGGGAAAAATCTGGGGGGGCATGTGACTCCATGTGCCCCACCACGCATTGCCTCTGGCTTCTGCGCAATGGGAAGGGTTGTCTTGGGGCTTCAGCCCTGCGGGAGTCGCCTGCTGGGGCTCGGGGCATCAGCAGGAGTGGGGCTGAAGCCCAGAGCCCTGGCAGGCATGCCCTGGTTCTCGAACTTCTGAAGATTGTCATATATGGTTCGGAGGGTAAGCAAGTTTGGCTACCCCTGGTTTATACAGTGCTCCCAATCCCTAATAGGTGTGAACATGACTCTACAGCTTGGCGTAAGATTGCTAAGAGAAACCTTCTCCCTAAGTACAGTAAATGTTTTAGCGCTGGATGAGGAGAAATATTTAATGTTCAATAAATGATTACTACTTTACAGGTATTACTGTCTAGCAGCTGTTGCAGCTTTGCTAAAATATGTTGAATTTATTCAAAATTCAGTTTATGCTCCTAAGTCACTCAAGGTTCGTTTCCAGGGAAGTGAGCAAACTGCTATGATAGATTCATCATCAGCCCAAAATCTTGAATTGTTAACTAACAACAGAGATTCTCGGTAAGATTATTTTGTTTATACAAATAATTTTTTTTTTCATTGTTATAAATTTATAATGCACCAAGTTCTATGGCACATGTATCTAATCTATCTAGTCATAGTAATTATATCGTATGCAAAACTGATTTTTAAATAATTTGAAATGAGAAATGAACTGCAACTTAGTGCAAAATTTGTAGTCCTAGCCTGGAATTTTTTTATGTGCATCAGGAAACCCCTAATAATAAAAGGGATTAGAAAGAAAGAAGAAAAGATAAGAATTGTGTAAAGGTGTATAGTGTATCTGTCACAAATGAGCCTGCTATCAGCAGGTTTGATTTATATAACTGACCCACAAGTTATCTGTGGCCACGTCTCTACCTAGCAGCTGAGCAAGGGGGATGTCGCCACTTTTGGGGAGTCCAGAAGTGGGTAAGCGCTGCCCAGAGCCCGCCTTACTCCGTCCTGGGCGCCAACCTCGTGCCCCCTCCCATACCCAAACTTTGCTGCTCCGGGGGGAGGGGGGGAGGGTATTGAGCCAAGTAGGGAGCCCGCCGGCCTCGCCCACACCAGCACCAGTGGGAGTCCCAGGCAGCGTGCCGCCGCCTGTGGCCCCCCAGCACCAGTAGTGGTTCTGGGCAGCCCCCTCCCCAAGTTTTATTCACTGGTAATTTTAGTAAAAGTCATGGACAAATTCATGGCCCATGACCTTTGTTTACTCCCTGTCAAGGCTGTATCCCCACTTTGAACTTTAGGGTACAAATGTAGGG